ATCAAAAATTAACAGAACAGCACTTTTTTGAACTTCTACCTTAATATTAAAATAATAGTTCAAGTTGAGGGACTGGAGTAATACATATAGTATAAAACCCCAATTCCTGCAACCGCTTACGAACTCACAGGTCTGTATTAGTTGCCCATCAAAAGTATGTTGTTGCTCTCATCGTCAGTTGACCTTTTGACACTATTGAAAAAGGTTAAGACAACATATCATTATTATAGAGGAAGGTAAATATTAGCTTGCTCACACCTCAAATTGAAATTATGTAAACATTGTGGCTGCACACAAGTTTACTCATGACTGGAATAGAGTGAAGTCTATGTATTCGATCTGATTTCCATGCCACAATAGAAATGATCTGTAGCAACAATCTAGCCAAACAAGTGTGACACCTCAAAACAGTATACATGTATACTGCAAGGCTTTTGGGTTCATTTGAACAGTTATTGGGAAATTACAAAGTTCACACACTTACTCAAAAAAAGACAAAATGCGCGTTTCATGATCGGTCTCGGATTTTCAACAATCCTTCAGTTTATAAAAGGCAAATTACCTTTTCTGGGCGAGTATGCCATGAAAAATCACCATTCAGTGGAAGTGGTCTTCTCGAATTTAAAGCGAGGGGAGTCGTCACCTATGCATGCGTCAGATGGCCATAGCATGCCATTGTTTACAAAGCACCTACCCATGAGCCTTTGCATTTTTTTTTAGTGCGTTATCGCTGCTTGGGACTCAATGCCTATGTGTGTGCAGGTGACGACCCCCTCGCTTTAATACACAAGCATGTGTCCCCAATTACGCACAAGCCAGACCTCAAAAACTGGCTAATCAGTACTATTCAAAGAAAAAAATTCCACCATACATATTTGTAAATACCTATACTTCATGAAAATCAATGGTGTTTTACATCACAAATGCAGCTTTTCGATAGACAATATGTTCCCATGGCAACCACCTCAAAATATGCAACTGTACTACAAAGTGGGTTATATAAAAACAGTTGGATACTGCTGCACAAACAAACCTGAATGCCATGGCAAATCTTAAAACAAAATTTGTATTTTTTTAAAATTGGTCAATTTTGGACCAAAATGAATCATAATAGGTTTTTATCTAACAAATTATTTTTTGAAAAGTGCCAAAAGTTAACCTTGGAGGGTTTAATATTAAGGTTGTAGACATGAATCATTCTTGCTACCAGAGTTTAATTTCACTTTGGGGGTGCATGAAACAATTCTCGCTTACAAACTTAGGTGCCATAAAGAGGTTATGGTGTTACTACAATCAGTACCACTCATTTAGATCCAATGTAAAAAAAACATTTAATAACAATATTTACACAAGCTTCAAAAGGCTTTTCACTCGCACTGTACAGATACATAACAATTTATAATGGCCTATTCTTCTTTTTATCATAAATGCATGATAAACCAAGATACAGAGTAATCTCGGAGAGGGGGGGGGCATGGACTACAACGGTACAAGCCCATGGAACACCAATGTAACTTGTTTTCACCCCTTGCAAAATAACCATGCAGTTATTCAATAATTTAATCAAAAATAGCAGGTAAGAGGAAATTATTTCAATTTGGTCCAAAATTAACAAAGGTATTATAGAAAATTACATAAAAATAACTGAAATATTGGCAGCAAAAATCATGGTGTTCAAAAGGCTGAAAACTTATTTTATTAAAAAAGTTCATCAACGAAAATAAATATAAAACATTACACCAGACTACGGAAATGATAACACTATTAGATGCAATGCTGATATTACTGGTATAGCACAAGACAACATCATGCTATCACTTCATTATAAAGAACCATAGTTTCAAAGACGCCTCAAATAGGTTCATTTAAGGTAGTTAGCTGCCATAAAGACTTTTCCCGAGATTTCCTGGCCAGATTTTAGATCCGACGAGTGAACCCTTTGGAATCTTAAAAGTGATGGTCATTGAGTAGCACATGTTTGGATTTCAAGTCAGCCAAAAAATGTGTTTTCCACACTTAGTATACCCATGTTGAACAGATCATCAACCTTTCAACATTACCAAAGCTAAATAAAGATATGTGCAACTTTCGTAAAATAATTAATTATTTGATGAAGAAGCCCAGCTACAAAATATATCCGATTTCCAGGTAAATTTTGAGTTTGAACGCCATGCAACGGTAACTATAGGCAACGTAGGCAAATACTGTAAAATACTTTATTTTTGCTTGGAATTAATGAAGTAATGATTCAGTGAAAATAGAAACCAGCGAATATACCGTTTTTCCTATATTTTACATTCAACTCGTCAAAAATAAATTCCATACAAAACACACAAAAAGTCTTTTCAGCGAAAATTAATTCCAGCAAAACTAAAGTAGTTTACAGTAATTACCATCACCTTTTTGTTTTTTCAGAGGTTGATGGGATCCTCGCATCATTAACTTTTTCACCAACAAACTTTCTTGCCCACATTTTTCTGCATTTTTTTCTTATATTCTTCAATATTTCTGGAAATGAACCCTAATTTTGGAGCCAACAGACAAAATTTGAATAAGTTTTCAGTTTCTACACAAAAAAATTGGGTTATTTTTGTCCCAATCTTCTGGAGGAATTTCAGACCATAAAGAGGACCAATTTTGTAAATTTTTGATGAAAATTGGGAGCTGGTGATGAGAAAGTTAAGGCTACTTATTTTCATTGGCAGTACCTCGCTATACAAGTTCATCCCTGTCCCCTGCCAGTAAAATAGCAGTATTTTGGCAGTTTCCATTCATGTAATTTATGCAAAAATTCTAGTTTTACATCAATCTAAAGAAAGCTTTTAACTCAGAACACAGGTCAATGTGATTAAGATCTGATATATGTGGAGATGCTGGTGGCACAGTTACTGTAGTACTTATACATCAGCTCCAATTTATACATCTGACCAATTTACCTATACAAATCACATGATCAGCAACTAATCACAACTTGGGTTGCAAACATTATCATCAACCAATCACAACTTGGGTTGCAAACAACATCATCATCAACCAATCAGACTGTGGGTTACAAACCACATGATCAGGAACCAATAAGAACTTGGGTTAAAAACTAAATGACCAGTAACCAATTACAACATGCATGTGGTTTGTTACCAGGGAGAAGAGCAGCATGAACCTAACTTGCATAATCTGAGACGATGTTATATTATACCAGAGGTACATTACTTGGGGTTTGCAACTACGGTGACATGATACCAAGATCCTGTTTCAATATTGCTCTCGCATAAGCGTTCCAACTCAGAAAAATGCGAATGCGCATGCCCGAGGTAACTAGGATACTGAGATGTCCAGGTGGATCAAAATAGCTGCTCACGATAACTATATTTTCTGTACATTTTCGATGTATTACATTTTTTCACTATGAATGTGGCAATACATATTGTTTTATTACAAATCGCCTGTGTCATGTCATAAAGTCGTAGCATCAATTTCGCTATCTACAGATGAGACTTGAATGGGATCTTGGCATGATGTCACCATACAGTACTATGCGCGTTGCAAACCCCAAATAATGTACCTCTGATTATTCACAACCTTGACCCTTTGTGGGGCAAAGTCAACTTTCGTCCACATTCACAGAGTAACCCTAAAATCATCTCTATCTCGTGTAATTTTTTCAAAATTTTGATCAAAACCTTTAATAATTATTGAAAAATAAATAAAAATAGGCAAAATGTTGCACCCACAAATTATGAAGCCTTAAAGTGGGGGAGTCGTCACCTGCGCATGCCTCAGATGGCCACAGTCATTGTTTACAAGCGTCTACCCATTAGCTATTGCGTTGCATTGCTATTGTTATCGTCGATTGGGACTCAATTTCCGCACATGCACAGGTGACAACCCTCCCGCTATAAGAGTTAATCATATTGTATACAAAACTTTAAAATATTGTTACTACATGTGTGAAAGATTTATAAATAAAGATATGAAAATGGTATGAAGTGCGATGAAGATGTCACATGAATTAAAAAAAAATGTGCAAATTCCAAGATAATCACAAAATTACTTGACAAACGTACATTCCATAACATACTTATGCAAATGAGTGAGTCTGTGAAAGAATTAGTGTTCGTTGCTGGTTGTTTTGCTTGTGTTCTTGCTTATTTGTAACATGTATTGAACAATTGAATTTGATGAATATTTTGCTCATTTCTGTAAACACAAGTGAACAATTCCAGCATCAACTAATTAATGAAACTAATAACTGAAAATAAATTGTTAGTCGCGGTTATAGTGTGTGGACTCTGAATTTAAAATCACACGTCTGAGATTGCACAGTGTGCAGTACACTAAAAAGTATACAGGAAATCCTTGTTACTGTTAATTTGTGCTGTTTTTTGGTTATGGGCAACAAACAATGGCTTGTATTTATCAGTTTTATCTTAACCCCAACTGTACAATACAATAGGCTTGTAATTAAACATTTCATATGGTTGTGCACTGCCACGTGAAGGAACGACATTATATTTTCCACAAAAAATGTACTCCTGTACAATTTATAGCTAATGCACAACTTATAAAGCAAAAAAGACTTCTTTTCAAATTTGCTCAAATGTTTTCATATATACATATATATGCAATTTAAAATTATGAATTAAATATGTATTTTCCACAATGTATAACTAATAAGATACTTATACAAATTGTACCTGAATGGCTACCCAACCATAACAGACCAATGAGAGAGCAGCTTGTTGAAATGTTTTTTTCAACATATCAAACTCTCCCTGTTTGATTCAACTACAAACCTGTTCCAAAACTGTCTGAAACATTCAAATTACTGATATTTTTCCACAATCATGCAAAAAACTCCCAAATTTATAACTGTGTTTAGAGACGTAACATTCAAAGAGAACAGACATATGGATGGATGGATAGATTCCAGACGCAATGGAATCTGTTGCTGAACATTTCATAATGAAGAGATACAAATGTTACTTCTGGTAGTATTACTTTCACGGTTTCTCTTTTGCTCGTCTTCGTTTCTGTGGCGGAGGCAGTGGATCACAGATATCCGCTGTAAAAAAAAAAATAGGAGGAAAAACGAATGAGTTTGAGTAGCGATTCTATTTAATTGGTAAGCTTTTTAAGAACAATCATTAAGAAGATATTGTTGTAATAAATGTTATACACGCTCATGCTGTTATCACTGCATGTTGGCGCTTCAGTGTTTTTTTTTACTATATGTAATAAATGGTTTTTTAAAGATGAACATTTGTTTATAGTTAATTAATTTCAAATTATTACAATATTAATAATACCTCCACCACTGGATCTAGTAGTTCTTTTTCTTGGTGGTGAGGAATCTCGTTCACGCTGTCCACGCCCCCTTCTCGCCGGTGAGTCACCCCTTCCTCTCCCCATATCAGTAGGTGACCTCCTTCCCCCTCGCCTCCCTCTTCCCCTCCCAGCATATTGAATTTTTACAGGTGATTCTTCGATCATTTCTGCTTTAGGTTTTTTGTCCTCTTCAGTTGATTTTATTTCATCTGCATCATCTGGTTGCTTGTCTGTTTTTTCCGATGTTGTCTCAGTGGCTTTTGGCTTAATTTCTGGGTCCTTTGCAGAAACACTTTCCTCTTCGGCACTGTCCTTCAATTTCTTTTCAGCAGGTGCATCTTCAATTTGTTTTGCAGTTCTTTTGCTGCCTGTACTGCTGTAAGCTATTTCTTGTTGACTCAATACTTGCACTTGTTCTTCCATTTTTTGCGATTCATCTTTCACCTCCCTTTTCTCATTTATAACTTTTTCCCTCACAGAAGAATCAATAACGTCATGAGCTTCTCCCGTAGAATCCTTAACTGGCTCTGTTTTTGACAGTTTAGTTTGTTCAGTCTTTGATATGTCTGCAATTTGGCCAGTTCCACTGGACAGTTCTTCAGCTTCCAGAGCTAAAGTAGAGGAGGACACCTTAGGTTGCTCTGGAATCTTTATAGACATTCCATCAGTAATAGTCCCTGTACAGCTAACATCTGCTGTAGTTTCAACATTTTCACCAGGTTCATCAGTGAGTAGTACGTTTTTCACAGGTTCAGATAGTTGAGGTTTTTCCTGTATCGTGGAGTCCAAAACATTTGAGTTTGACTCATCATTATCATCAGGTGCATTAATTCCTTTGCCCTCTTCAACTGCAGAAGTTTCTGTGTAACATTCCTCAAGCGACTCTGTTACATACCTAGGTAAGACTTCAGTTTCTCTTTCAGGACTTGACTTTTCTACCCTCCCAGCATGCTTTGCCAGAACAATTTTTTGAGTGTCCTGCACTTCATCAGGTGCCTGTTGTCCACTGTTCTGTGCCATCCCAACAACTGAATGTTTGTCTAGCTTCATATCATCTGCATCCTTTATATCAATATGATCAGCTTGGACAGTTTTTAATATCGCCTTGAGTTCTGATAGTTTCTCACTTTTGGATTGAGACTTATTGTCTAACTTGGCAGAAGTCTCATCTTTCTGCAATGTTTTAGGACTTATCGTTTTTTTCTCTTCTTCAACCTCTTTAATCATTTGCACAAGAAGGTCACTTCCACTTTTGGGCACTGTCTTCAAAGCATCTTCCTTCTCAATCTGAGAAGCAAAATTTTGTTCATCATAACTCTTTCCTTGACTTTGAACATTTTTTGCTTCAAATGTACTCTTTGCAGCATCTGAAGATAAAGATGTCTCAACTGCCTTGATTTCTTCTTTAGCTATATTACCAACTAGTTCTTCGGATAGTCCAGTGGAGCTTAAGTCTGATGATTTTCTCACATCCTGCATCCCCAAGGAATCAACAGATGATCCATTATTTGAAGCAGCATCCTTCAGGGAATCTCGATCTTCGTCCCTACACAAACTTTCTGCTATGGCCGATTCAAGTCCTTCAAGTTCAACATCAGATTTCGTATCTTCTGCATGTGATTGACTTGTATCTGGTGAACAATCTTCCTTTATATCAGTAGGGGTAGACACTGTTGAGGACAATTTAGGTTCATCAACAGAACTTTCTTCGGTCTGGAGGTGTAAATCAAGCAGGGGATCATAGGGTTCCTCTGTTGATGTCTGTGCTTTTTCAGCTACATGTAAATCTTTTATGATGTTACTATCACTGGAGTGAGAAACTGGAACCTTTACTTGTATATTTGTCAACAAAGTCCTCATATTTTCTTTTGAACAAATTTCATTTTCATTCTGATGTTCTTCCTTAACAGTTTTAATCTTTTTCCCAACTTCAAGGGATAACTCCTTCTGTGAAGCATCATCTTCAAAACTCGTCTTCTCTTCATTTTTTGGTGCATTCTTTTTCATTTGTGTGGCATTTTTACCCAAGAAATCATGCAAACACTCAGGTTCTTTCTTTAGTTCAGTGTCCATACTAACACTTGCTTTCTCTTCAATATCATTTCTTTTAATCTTTTCAGAGATGGGAACACCTTGAGATGCAATTGGCTCAACTTTTAACTGCATTTGCTGATCAGAAATCATTTCTTGTTTGAGTTCTTTTCTTTCCTTGAATAAACCAGAAAACTTCACATAATCTTTCATGCCTGAAAGTACTGGTTCGTTTGTCTCTAAATGAGAAGTAGTTTCAGTTCTTAATTTTTGTTCCTGTTGTAGTTGGAAAGGTGTCAATGTTGATGATGAAGTAGCAGTTGGTTGCTGCTGTCCTTGTCGGTGATGTTGCTGCTGCTGCTGTTGTTGTTGTTGTTGTTGCTGCTGCTCTTTCTTAAGTTGCTGTTTTTGAATTTTCTGCTGTTCTTTCTGAAACTGTTGCTGACTGTTTTCCCCACCTTGAACTTTGGTTTCAGTGGCTTTCATCTGTCCCTTTTGTTCAGTGGACCTAGCCCCTAATCCAAAAGAGAGTAACTGTTCTCGCTGACGTTCAAAGTCAGCTTCAGAAAACTGGGTGTGAAACTGTGGCATTTGTTGCTGAACTCCTTCAGCTAATTGTCTGACAAACTGTGAAAGATTCAGTTGATCGGTTGGCATTGATAGCATTCCTGATAAGCTGTCTAGATTTGATGGTGCCAACTGTTTCTTCATCCACCCTTGTGAAAATCGGGGTGGGGGCCTTTGTTGTTGCTGCAATTGTTGTTGCCATTGTTGAGGCCTTGGATTTTGTAATTGTTGCTGCTGCTGCTGTTGTTGTTGCTGCTGCTGCTGCTGCTGCTGCTGTTGTTGCTGCTGCTGCTGCTGGAGCTGTTGCTGTATCTGTTGCTGAAAATGTTGTTGTTGTAAATTTTGCTGCCTACGCTGTTGTAACTGTTCCTGTTGCTGTATCTGATATTTTTGTTCTTCTTTTTGCTTTTCACCAGTGACTTTCTGTTGCTTTGAATGGTGTCTCTGATGCGGTTCTTCATCATTTGGCTGCACCTGCTCTTCCTCTAATGACCAGTCAGCTGTGAAGGAGAACTATCCTTTCGTGATGATTGTTGCTGTAGCTGTGATGCATGTTGAAGATGATCTGGAGACTGCTGGTTTGGTACCTGCTGTGTTTGTTGTCTGGATGTTTGAATGTGGGAATTTTGGGGAGGAAGTTGGCCAGCTGACACAGGTTGCTGTGATTGTTGTTCTGGGATAAGTTGTTCGGTTGATAACTGCAAAGGTTGTGCAGGTAACTTTGGTTTACCAGAACCATTTGGCCGTTGACCTGGTGCAAGATCAGGTATTTGTGGTTTTTGCTCAGGAATCAGGGAATTTTGTCCAGTTAAATGTAGTTGTCCTAATATATGCATTTGTTGCCCTGGTGTTTTTGACTGTTGCTGTCCTGGTATTTCTGTTTGTTGTTCTGGTCTTGAAGTTTGCTGTTTTCCTGGTATATGTGACTGCTTTTGTCCTTGCATTTGTGCTTGCTGTCCTGATATCTGCTGTTGTCCCTGCTGTTGTACTTGTGTTGCTGACACTGCTTGCTGTTCTGACATCTCAGACTGTTGTTCTGGCATATTTGGCTGATGTTGCATCTGTGGTTGCTGTCCCTTAAGTTGTGCTTGCTGTCCTGGTATTTGCACCTGCATCTGTTGCCCTGGCACCAGTGGCTGTTGTCCTGGCACTGGTGGCTTTTGTCCTGGCACCGATGGCTGTTGTCCTGGCACCGATGGCTGTTGTCCTGGCACCGATGGCTGTTGTCCTGGCATCGGTGACTGTTGTCCTGGCATCGGTGCCTGTTGTCCTGGCATCTGTGACTGTTGTCCTGGCATCTGTGACTGTTGTCCTGGCATCTGTGACTGTTGTCTTGGCATCTGTGGCTGTTGTCCTGGCATCTGTGACTGTTGTCCTGGCATCTGTGACTGTTGTCCTGGCATCTGTGACTGTTGTCCTGGCATCTGTGGCTGTTGTCCTGGCATCTGTGGCTGTTGTCCTGGCATCTGTGGCTGTTGTCCTGGCATTGGTTGCGGTTGCCCTGGCACTGGTTGCTGTTGTCCTGGCATTGGCGACTGTTGTCCTGGCATTGGCGACTGTTCTGGCATCGCGGATTGTTGTCCTGACACTGGTTGCTGTTGTCCTGGCATCTGTGACTGTTGTCCTGGCATTGGCGACTGTTGCACTGGTTGCTGTTGTCCTGGCATCTGTGACTGTTGTCCTGGCATTGGCGACTGTTGTCCTGGCATAGCAGATTGTTGCCCTGGCATCGGTGACTGTTGTCCTTGCAGCTGTGACTGTTGTCCTGGCATTGGGGACTGTTGCCCTGGCACCTGTGAATGTTGTTCTGAATTCTGCGACTGTTGTCCTGCAATTTGTGACAGTTGACCCTGCAGCTGTGTTTGTTGTCCTGGCCTCATTGGCTGTTGTCCCAGCATTTGTGACAGTTGTCCTGGCATCCGTGGTTGTCCTGGCATCTGCTGTTGTTGTCCTGGCATTGCTGTCTGTCCAGAAATTTTCGTCTGCAATCCTTGCATTTGTTGTTGTCCTGGCATCTGTGGTGGTTGTCCTGGCATCTGTGGTTGTTGTCCTGGCATCTGTGGTTGTTGTCCTGGCATCTGTGGTTGTTGTCCTGGCATCTGCAGTTGCTGAACTGACATCTGTGGCTGCTGTCCTGGCATTTGCGGCTGCTGCCCTGGCATGTGTAAACGATGGCCAGGCATTTGATGAGGTCCAGCCATCTGCTGTTGTTGCGCTAGCATTTGTGGTGTTCGTTTCATCTGTTGTCCAGACATTATTTGTTGTTGTCCTGACATCTGCAGTGGAGGTCCTGACATGCGTAGTTGTCCAGTCATCTGAAGTTGTTCTGGCATCTGTGGTCGATGTCCTGGCATCTGAAGCTGTTCTGACATTTGTGAGTATGGCCCCAACATCTGTGAGTGTTGTCCTGACATATGAGGGCGTTGTGCTTGATGAGACTGCTGCTGTGACATTGATGGATGCAGGTGCCCTTGCATGGAAGGATGAAATTGTTGCCGGGGTATCTGATGTGGTGAAAGCAACTGTTGTGGTCCCATAAGTCTCTGTTGTTGAGATAGATTTTGGTGTTGTACATGCTGCTGCTGCTGTTGTTGTTGCTGCTGCTGCTGCTGCTGTTGTTGTTGTTGTTGTTGAGTCACAAGTTGCTGTTGCTGCATCTGAGCAGACTCCTGTTGCTGTTGCAATAATTGTTGATGGGAGTGTTGCTGCTGTCTCTGTTGATGTGTCATAAATTCTTGTTGTTGTTGGCCATGCTGTTGTTGAGCTTGTTGTAGTAGATGTTGCTGAAAAGCTTGCTGCAATTGCTGTTGTGTCTGCTGCTGTTGGGAATTTTGTAATTGCTGTTGAAATTGCTGCTGTCTTTCAGGCTGCTGTTGCTGCATTGATGAAAACTGCTGCTGTAATTGCTGCTGCTGGTTATGTTGCTGTTGCAACTGAAGAAATTTTTCCTGGAACATTGCACGTGAAACAGGGACCTCACCACCTTCATCTGATTTCATTGTTGGTGGTGTGCTCTTCCCAGACAATGCCGAGAATGGGAACTGTGTAGCAGAAATATCACTCTGAAGAAGATTCACTAGTAAAGGACTTGTCATTGTAACATCTTGCTTCCTTCCCATATTGTTGCAGTTATTTCCATTATTGGTGAGCCTAATAGAATTGTCTATGGGTGGGAATCGGGCACCTATTGGGAAGCTTCCACCACCACCATCCTGGGATAAACCCATTAGATTGAGATTCGATGGGCGGCTCTTTTCTTGCCTTTCCATTTCACTTTGGGGAAGGTTAACCATCATTGACTGTTCCTGTTGTAACCTTTGCATGGCTTGATTCTGTGTAGCCTCTGCTGCGGCTGCTGCGGCTGCAGCTGCAATCTTTTCTTTGGTTCTGCGTACACGCTTCTTTTTTGGTTGGGGCTGAGGCTGTGGCTGCTCACCACTTGGTCCTGGCATTGGAGAAGACGAAACTGAAGGTAAACCAAATGCAGGACCAGGAAACTGCAAAGTCTGTTGAAGAGGGGATGGCAGTGGTTGTTTTGGTGGTGGTGGTGGAGCTGTTCTAAAGGTAACTTCTTGTGTTGTATTGTCTCTTGATAAAGTGAGTCGAATCACATCATCACCGTCTATCTGTACGGAGAGTATTCCTAAATCTTTCAAAGCTTGGTTTCCACCTCGAGCTAAATCTCTGAGTCGCAGTGCAGCTTCTCTTGGTATACTGAAGGTAACTTTGATGCTGTTCCATGGTTCAATCTTTTTGATGTTTACTTGTGATTTGGCTAAAAGAAAAAAAAACAGAACCAGAAAAGCATTAAAATCACTGTTTACAACCAATTTTATTTTCATTTCTACAAATGGCTCATTGAATATTACAGCTTCACTGTACAGTGATGGCTATTACATATTGGTCGATTCTTTTAATATATTCAAGGTAGCAACATGGGTTCGCCTGACAAGGTCGTGTGAGTTGCACCCTCTGCAGTGCTCCAAACCCAACACACGCCTGACAGAACAATGTAGTTTTTCACTTCCCCCACTATTTTTTGTTGGTACCAATCAAATTGCAGGAATGTCAGATAGTGACAGCTATCCATGTTTTTGAGGAATACAGTACTCATTCCGCTCAACCTCCCGCTTTTATCGCTTTTTTGCTGACCGCTTATCGCTTAATTTCCGACCGCTCGCTGCTTTCCGACCGGAAACCGACCGCTTTTTTTCCGCTCGCTCGCGTTCGCTTTTGTTCGCTCGCTCGCTCGCTTTTGTTCGCTCGCTCTCTCCTGCTATGGCTGGCTTCAGAAACATCGTCCGCTTGCCAACCGACCGCTGGAGTAACAATGATCGTACATTGTATGTATAAACTTAAGTTTTTATTTGTAATAAATTTAGGTTTTAATGACGATTCAAAACACAACGCCTTTTGCTTCTCTGTGTTGGAACAAAGACGCCTTCAAATCACTTGACACATTGTAACGTTTGCTACGCAAGCCGACTTGCCGACGATTAATCGCTTGTCTGAGTACATGCGGCGACGAATTATTGGATTGGCAGCAGCCGGACGAAAAATGAAAGAGATCTCGGAACAGTTAATTTGTTGAGGAAAACAAAACAAACGCAGCCAGTGATACATTTTGAAAACAAAAATACAAAATAAACGCAATCAGAGGCGCCGACCACGCGCGTTGGAAATAAATAACGTGTTGTGACAGTCTCACCAAACTCTTTCACTCGCGCAATATAATTATGTTATTTCCAAAGCACTTATATTTAATACATTGACAAAAAACACCGCAAGAAAAATGTAAATCAGGCTTGTAATTACTAGTAACTCTACTCGAACGCAATGTTGATCACTGTAAAAGTGGATAATTCGAACCGTCATCAAATTCAAAATTCAAGCGATCTCGTTGAATGTCAAAAATAAACTCGATGTTTAGAAAGAC